TAAGCAACAGGGAAGACGCTGCAGGGCTTATTGTTTTTATTGTTTTTCCCAGTGTTTCTTATTGTTACTTTCATGTATGCGTGTGTATGTAGGGAGTAATATAGAGAAAGTTAGGTAATTCTGCCAAAGATTGGCTTCATGATTTCAACGGAAATACGCGTTTTGGGGATATCGAAAAATGATTTTTTTAACTGTCAGTGAACAACATGAGCGCCTAAACTATTTGTATGATTTTTTTCCAAAATGATTATTCCCCAAACTATCTAGCTCCCCTCAAAGCCCTGCTTGTTTTTTAGGTTATTTACATGAAGCCCCTGTTCTATACTACAAATGCCATTTTACTCTATTTTTCAGAAATTCCACATATTTAATTAGTTTTATATCTCTCTCATTTATGAGCGCATGTGCTTTAAATAATGTCATTGGGTTCACTCAAAAGATCAGGATAAATGAGCTCTGGTATGAAGTAGTTTATTTTCTCAAGTTTAAAATAGTCAAATCATACCAACCCACTGTAAATACGGCAACATTTCATTAAACATGTCCATTTCCCACTTATAAGAATTCCTGCTTTCAGAGACAAAATTCCATTTTACTAGGTGTCTCTTATAAAGGGGTTTTGCTGTATTATCTTAAGGATGTGTGATGACTTCTCTTATTTCATAACCTGTTCAGTTTGTTTATTATTGAAATTACTCTTAATTTTAAAAAATATGCTTCAACCTCAAAATTTTAATTGCATTTTAGGCCTTACTTAACTCTTTGCATTACTTTACCTTGGATGTATTTGTAATCTTTCAAGTGTTTTTTGAAGCATAACTGTTTAAATTATACTTTGTGGTGATTTGTTTTTGCAGTTGCAATATTTTTCATCTTTTTTCAGCTGCTTTAAGAAATTTGAAAGTCTTTCCTCCAATTAGTAAGTTTGAAGAAATTGATATAACAAGAGCACTTACATCTCCAGGGAGATTGCATTATCCAAAAATTGCTAAAAAATCACGTTTAGATGAATTTTTAGCTAGAAGATCTCATTTAAAAGCTGTTGAGGAAAGAAAAATTGCTCAGGCGGTAAGTTAATAATGTAGTGAATTGTATTGCTCTCATAATTTTTCTGGTTTTAATGTTTGTTATTGTTTTGTAGAACAACAAAGAAACAAGGGATGCTGCATCTCTGAAATCCAGCACTTCTGGTGAAGGTGAGGTGACTAAATCGCAAGAAGAACAAGATGCAGATGTAGACATAGAAAATGATGAAAGTGATCCAGAAAGTGAAAATGGGAATGGTGGAGTTGATCATTTACTACCTAATATGTTTTTGGGGAAACTGTGTGTGCCAAATAATTCACAGGTTACTGCTGGAATTCCAAAGGATCTCTTAAGCACCATTTCGAGACGTATAGCAATGCACAAGCAACAGTACGCTCGTCTCACTCGATTGGCAAAAGGGTGGAATTGTTACAGCAGAGAGTGCAATATGGCAAGGAGCAATACAGGATCTGCTGCAAGTGGATTTGCTGCGTGTTACTCACCTTTATGCATGCAAAAGGCAAGAGTGCGAAAGGAATTGCTCCTTTTATTGAGGAGAGCAAATACTCATGCTAACAACAATAATGTGCCAATAGCTTCTGTTATTGTGAAAACAGAAGCACGAATAAAAACAGAAAATTCTGTTGGTGATGATAGTTGTGCGACCTCAAACTCTGACAGCATGGATGCCATTACTAAAGATTTGGAAAGTGCTGTTGCTGTTGTCACTACTGATGAACAGGAAGCAGAAGTGTCCACTCCTATACCAACTCCAGGATCTGCAGTTACTAAAGAGAAAGGTCCATTGCAATGTAGAACAATAGAAAAAGAAGCAAAGAATGAAACAGAGAGTTGCACTGGAAATGGTATAAAGGAATCAAAGTCCGCACCAACAGAAGTAGCTGGAGAAGGTGAAGTATCTACCACGACTCCTTCTATGTATGGAGAAGTTGAGGTGTCCACAACTACTCCTGACAGCTGTACTGAAGTGGAAGTGTCAACAACAACACCTGATCACAAGGAAGACCAGCATGCAGATCCAAAGGTATTTAGAATTTTAATTAATAAAGGCAGCACCAAGCTTTTGAACACACATCTTTCAACATTGTAACAAGTTATACAACAATTCAGTTTATAATAACAATTTTATAATTTGAACATGTGTGCACACACAGAGATATATGGTCAGCTGGAAGTGCATTCAGTGCATTTGCAATCCGATTTACCATATGTGAGAATGTGTTCCTATCCTTGATTTTTGTTTCATCAATTTCATTGCATGCTTAGGAACCTTGGCTCTTTACAAACAACATTGTTAAATTCAAGAATGTTATAACATCCAGTCAAAATTTTAAAAGTTTCTGTAATATTACTGCTTCTCTGTTCTAATGTCAAAAATGACATTTCTTGGCAATTTCCTTCATAATCAGGTACTCATATGAATCCTGTTATTTTTAATTTGTTTACAAATTATTAACTGACAGTTATTTAACATAGACACATTTCATTATTTGCGGATGTTGACAAGATTTATTATGGGATCTGATATTGGAAATGCTGTATATTCGCTTGGGGATCTGCCATCTCTATGAAACTGGTGCTCACTAACCAAAATAGATCTCAATACATCCATAAATGTTACATTATCACCTAGACTCAGAAGCATCATTACATTATCAATACTCTTTGAATAATAAACCCCTGTTGACAGTTTCAAACACTAGGTATCTTGGGGTAATGTTTTACTCTCAACTTGACTTCAATGTGCATATCTCTGTCACAGTACAGAAAGTGTGGAGAACACTAGGTCTTATTAGATTGTGTGTGATCTTTGGTGATCCCCTGTGAAGATATTGAAAGCAGTTGGATGCCAGCCCTCTTTTTTCTCTCTTTTTTTCTGAGCTAAGAGTTGGCTTTAGGTCTTATTGATACTAAATTATTTCATTCCGTAAACACCTTAATTCTGTACAAAACTCTTATTCGCCCCATTTTGGAATATGCTTCTGTTGTGTGGACACTTTACACACAAAACCCCATTAATCTCATTGGAAAAAGTCCTGTGCAAATTCTTACGCTATCTCGCCTTTAAAAACATTTTGTGTCTCTAGATACAATCATGACTTATCTCATCTTTATCCTGAGTTTCGCCTTCAACATATATAATTGAAAAGAAAATTTAATGATATGATTTTCATCTACATGTTTTTACATGATCTGATTGATTCTTCTGATTTTGTATCTGTTGTTATTCCTGTGAGGAGAACCAGAAACGCTGCTCGTTTCTGGGTTGCTAATTCCAACACAAATTATAGTTACAATAATTATAGTTCATTCACTATTTTTACCACAGAAATGTTTTGTATATATGTTCCTACTATATGTAGGAACATAATGGAAATACCAATTATGAGTACAGCTCATATTTGGTGGTGGTATAAGAAATAAACACAACAAAAGAATGAAGTGCTATAATGAAAATATCAGGAATATTGAGAAAATCAAGAGAAACATACAAAACATTAATTACATAGTATAGGAAATCATTCCAACTTTAAACGTTTACACTTCACATTGTACTGAAAGCTGTATCATTTGGCAAATAAACATTTATATTAAACTTGTTAGCAGTTGTACACATTCTGTTAAAAGGGTGTTAGCTGTTTGTGGACGTTAATAAAACTTCTGAGCAAAAATGTGTGGTCTTCTGGTATTAAAGTGGGGAACTATAAAACTCAATAGATTCAGCAAAAGTGAACAGTCAATAATACCAATGAAAAGTTTACCTAAAAACATAACCTCTACAAGATTTCAATGAAGGTATGTTCAAACGTGAAGCTGCGATACTATAATTGTTGGTTTTATAGGGATCCTGAACCCTTGAACGGTATGTAGCAAGTGTGAAATACTTATGCTGGACTGTTTCAACTCTGGAGATACTGTTTGCAAAACAGAGTGACAAAACAGAAGAGTACGTCAGTACTGGGCTAATCAAAATCAAATAAAGTGATCTCAATATTTGTATAGAGTGCTTATTAAAACCTAGCATCTGATTAGCGTTATTAACTGTAATATGAAGATGGTCTGTAAAAGACATTTAGGTGTCAAAAACAACACCAAGATTCCATTTAGTTGACTCTCCTTCAATAAATATGATGTTAATAGTATAATCCCCTTCGATCAGGGTTCTAGATCTAGAGAAAGTAATTGTTTTACATTTAGAAAGGTTTAAATTAAGATTGTTATTTGTGTATCATTTGACAAATTTATTTACCTGATTCCTGTAACACAATTATATCTGAAGGAGATCTAATGTCCTTAAACATTTTTAGTTCATCAGCAAAAAGAAGAAATTCAACATCTTATAATATCACTAACATCATTTATAAAAATTATGTACAATAAGAGCCCCAATGTTACGAAGTAATTTTGTTTGTTTTATATTTAAACTATGCTAGTTCTTCATTCATTTCAGTGAATTGGAATTTTAATCTTCCATTGATTTTTTTTACAGGTGGATACTTCTAAACCTGCAGGGGTAACTGTCACAAGTTTGGTGACTACCACTAGTACTACAACAACTACTACTCACCAGACAGTACGCATTGTGAATGGTCAAGTTCAGAGCATTCAGTCTTCTGAGACAGTAGCTAAATCAACTCAGCAAAACATTGAAGAATCAATTGCAGAGAAAGCTCCAACGTATGTAAAATATTGTCTAATGCACTTTTTGGTTGGGATGGTCTTGAAAGCTGTATATTTTTTCTCTTTAAATCTTACAATAGGTCTACAAATGCATTACCTCCTTAAGGCTGTTCGAATAGTTGACTGTCTTGGGGCCGGGTTCACCAAACAAAGAGTAAGAGTTCACTCTGGAGTAAATCATGTTTAATCAAGAGTAACTTCTTGGAGCGTTTCACCAACACTTCACTCGAGTGTAAATCGTTTACGCGAGGGTAAATTCGAGAGTAACTTTACACTGCGGAAATCCGTCGAGTAAATTCAGTTTTCAACATGCATGTACCGCTGAAGTGTTCATTACGGCTCGACGATTACGAATGATAGTATTTGAAGATGATTCCAGCAATGATTAGGAATATTATCCACTAGTGCGAAGACAAAGGGTGCGAGAGAGAGTGGATTGGTTTCATTATGACAATTGAGATTTTGTCACAAGGTTATGTTTGAGAAAAAGGGCTGTTACCTTCATCAGATACATTGTTAACTGTAGAGAACTTGTAAATTTATTTTTTACCCATGTGGATACGAAATAAAGGTATTACATACCGAATACGATAACAAAAGGAAAAATAATAACTACAGGGACTACAAGTACTCAGAAATATTTATTTATTTAGTAAAAACTGTGTAACGTATGGGGGAGATCATTTGCGCACGTTTTCTTGAGGTCCAGAATTCCTTTCCAACATTTTAACTATAAATAGTTCATAGGTGAATATAAGTTTAGAAAATAAAACTAATAATAATAATAATAATAATAATAATGATAATGATAATGATAATGATAATAATGATGATGATGATGATGATGATGAAAATATAGTGAAAAATAAAAAATTTAAATACCAGAGGTTGGGAACATTTGAAAAACTATATATTTTCGTTCCAGAGTTATAGAAAATTTATTTGCCTGACCATCGGTAAATGAACTGCAAATTTGATTTTTCTGCATTGCTAACAAAATAGTAACTCATCTCCGGAGAAGAAAAAATGAATATTTATTAAGAAATAACTATACAAAATCTATGAAATAAACTATGCCAACTGAAATCACAATAACACTGCACGAGATAATAATGTCAAGAACTCTGAAACTGAAATTAATTTTAGAATATAAGGAATTAATCAAAGGTTCGCGTTGGTCTACAGTGGTTCCCAGTGTCACTCTCGCTCTCAGCCTCTTGAATTGCTCTCAAATCTTGCACGTTCAGCTAATTCGCGGAGTAAATCGGAGAGTTTACTCTATAGTAAAAGAACCCTGTAGAAGCATGGTGAAACGCTTATATTCTACTCGAGATTTACTATCTTAGAGTAAACTCTTATTCTCCGGTAACTACTCTCAACTTCACACGGCTGTTGGTGAAACCAGCCCTTGGTAGCTAATGAGATTAGAGCAACTGGGCAGCCAAGGTGTCATTTCTTTGTACAGTTGAAACTTAATTTGTAACTACTAATGTTGTGATGATTATTAATTATTTTACAAACAATATTACCTATTCCTGAAAGAGATGTCTATAATTTTTTTACTTTCTTTTTTGAGCACTTAAATGCTCACTATTCAATATAATTTGGTTTTCATTATTTACAATCACCCTTTTTCAATTAAAAATATGAAACATTTATTTCAAATTATAAGTCTGTAAATAATTTATATTTTGCTTACGATTTGAATTCACAAACAGGAGATGACAGGACAATTTCTAGCGTATTTGCTAGATCACACACACGAACAATTGGTGCATTTTGAAATAAATTGTACCTCAAAATTGGTAATCCAAATGTTTTGTTCATGTTTCGTAAATTAATGGAAGGAATTTTATAACCTAGTTTAGACAATACATGAATACTCTCAATGTGGTTATTGCTAAGATTCAACACGAAAATGTAATTATACATTTTGTAGGATTTTAAGGAACTTAACATTAGTTGAGGTAGCAATTTGAGAATAATCACGAGTAAGAGAGATGGTAAATTCAATTTCTAAGCAACAAAATTTAATAATTTGTCTTTAACTGATTCTAGTTTTCAAAATAGGGTGACTAGACCAGCATTTAAAGTATTTGTTGAACTAAAGTTAAATTAATTGGGTTTAATTATTGAAGAGCTCTGTGACAAGAAAATTATATAAAACAACATTCTATTTGCCTTTGATATAATGTATTCAATACGCAGATTAAAATGTACTTTAAAATCAAATATGATGCACAGATCTTTTATTTGATCAACTCTTTCTAATTCACGGTTTACAATTTTATAGTTAAAAACTATTTGTCTAGGTGAACTTCAGAATGTCATACTCTTGCAATAATTAATATTTAGTAATAAATATATTTTGTCACGCCAGGAAACGAGACAATTTAAATTTAGTTGTAATTCTATGCAGTTATTCAGAAACTCACAATTACACAAAATTAATTTATGTCATTAACAAAAATTAGGAACAATAGGAGTCCTTAGTGAGAATCCTGAAGAACTCCAGAAGACACTACTGTGTCCTTAGATATTACAGATTGAAATTTTAACATTCTGGGTTCTTCCCACAAGATAATGTGTTTACAAATCTAATAAAGGATCATATATACTCAACCTCATCAATTTACTTATCAGTAATCAGTGATTTACAGTGTGAAATGCTTTTGTAAACTGTGAAAATTACTACTACTTGTGAAAATCGATCAACTTTATAATAAAATTTTCGTAGAGAACAAAGTTCGTTGTTGAGCACCTGTACCCGAAACTATGTTGTTCATCAATAACTTGGTTTAAACAAGAAGTAAGACTAGTAGTAGTAGTAGTAGTAGTAGTAGTAGTAGTAGTAGTTGTAGTAGTAGTAGTAGTAGTAGTAGTAATTTATTTCCAAAAGAATTATATTGCCTGTACAAAAACCATCACCATAAAAACAATAAGAAAGAATACCAATTTTGTTTGATACATTACATACGTTATATATCCTTTTTAACCTTTCAGTAAAAATACTGGTCTTATTAGATTTAAATTTAAATATTTGTTTATTTTTATTTTATCTTATTCAGTACACTTCAAACGCTCTCTAAGTACTTTATGTACTTGTCAGAGAGGGGTGTGTTTCATTGTAAGTTTGTTTTGTTTTGTTTTTTCTTTTTTGTATTACTGTTGTTGATTACAGTTCACCCATCATCAGTACTGTTTGCCAATTACTGTATGATGCGTGGATTGTTTCTCTTCAAATTTAGATTTTCGTCCAAGGAAACTCAACAGGCAACAAGAAATCACAATAATGAAATTATCTAAAATAACAAATAAATTGTAAATAAATATAAAGAGATGTCAGTTGACAACAGGCTAAAATGAATATTAGGTTATACTTCATTACCATTTTGAAAATTTGTAGTGACAAATCAACAAGCAAAGCGAAATAAAATTATTATCTACATTAGCTAATCAAGAAAGAAATAGAACTTACATGCCAAATGGCAGCTGACATTAACTTGAGTTAAAGTGTCCAATTATAAATAATTAAAAAGTAAATAACAGGACACAAAAACAAAAATTAGTCCATAAAGTGAACAGTTAACAAAACTGAATGAGATTAACAGAAGCATTATACATTTTTTACAAATTATCGTCTTGTGATAACCGCTGTTTACAATATGAAGATTTAGCTGTACATAATTAACAACATAAAATCTTGTAATGACAAAACTCAACAGGCAAAAAGAAAACAAAATCATCCAATTATTCTCTAAACTAACAAATGGATGGATAAGTGGAACTAGATGGCAGTTGGCAACAGGCATCATCAAATTTTTCCATCAAATTTGTTGTGGGTCCTGATAAGTCAAACTGACTTAACATCAGGTGCCCATTATTACAGAATTTTACAGTATTTTCTTCTTTAAATTCATAATGTTGACATACTATAATTTTACCTAATATAATTACATAAAACCTATTCTTATGAAATATTTTACCTTAAATAATTCAATGTGAAGTTAAAAACATAAAAGTCCTATTTGTTACAATTACAATATTGGGTTTTACAGTGATACAATCTATAACAGATTAAAACAATGGTTAACATTTCAAATATTTTTATGAATATTTACAAAGTAACAAAATTTAGAAAAAATACATTATATTTTTACCTTTTTTATAAATCGTTTTAAATTTTGCTCTAAGTCCATATACTTACAGTTTATATAACAGTATATTTTTAATTAATATATACAATCACATAGGTAGTTATTAGTTCTTATTTCTAATATAGTCACCTAGGTATAACACATATCAGTATGTATAGAAAAAATGACACAAAATAATTATGTAACTGTCCTAAATACAGTGTTTACGCATAAATATTGGTTTTCTGCAGTTCTTATGTTATCTCATCAAAGTATTTATTAAAGTTTGGACACAGTTCTAGATCTAGTGGAAGTTCATTGTATAATTGTGGTATTACATAATTTTAAGATCTTTCTCCGTTCCTATTGTAAGTGAGTGGGATCATATATTTTTTCTTCTGAACGCATAGTTAAGTAACTCTATTGTTTTAAATTAGTACTTACGTTCACTGAATCGATGACATTAAAGGGAGCAGTGATCTGTAGTGATTAAAAAAACTCACTCGAAACCATATCCTCTCTTCTTGTGACTTTGACATTGATCATCCAACACGAAGTTCATCAGTTATTGGTGCATCATTATAATTTGTTTTGGCCACATTGGGATAATTGCAAACGAAATGGCTGACCAGGCATCAAAGCTCGCCATGAAGAAAACTGAAGTAGACATCCTGACATTCCCAACAAATAATACAAAGCTGTTTATCAAATGCTCTATTCTCAGTGCATGGCAAACAGAGTGCCAGAAATCAGATTTTAAGCTCAATCCAAGTTCTTTGTAGCCTTGGCCTTCCTTGTCTCGCGACTGTAGGCATGAGGAGATAATTCTGACTTGCCTTCGGATCTGTCACGCAATTTCTT